AAGAAGCGGCTTTGCCGATGTCGAATATCGGTTTGGTATGTCCAATCATCACCGTATAAGAGTTACTTTTGGCAGCCAGGATTCCTTTCACAAAGTTGATTATGTACGTTGCAAATTCGTTCTGCCTCAGCCCACCACATCGTTCTCAACAACGTTGTAGAACGTAAAATGATGCACCGATATTTCAATTTTGTAATACTGAGAAGACGCATTGCTTCCTAATGCCAAAGGAACAGCTGGCACGTCCATTCAACACCAGAGTGTTTTTCATCTTCACCTAAGGACATGATGGCTATTTCCTTGTCGGCTGTGGCTTTCTGTTTGTTTCTTCACTTTCAATGTTTCAACCAAGCGTGTTCACGCACGTTGCCGCAATAATCACGTAAATATCGCAACAATACTTACGAGGACAGAACAGAGCCAAGTTGAGCTCGTCGAAAATTTGCTTCACCAGAAGGAGAATTGCTTCATTTCTGTTTACTCTGAAGTGTAGAGCCATTACACGTCAGCAAAACTTTGGAAAGTGGTCTCAAGGTACAGCTTAGTTGAGCCATACAGTAATGTAATGATACTCGTGATAACTTGTTGAAGAATCCCTCAACACTGAGGATACATCGGCCACACGTGCATTCCTGTTTGAATGCTCGTTCATCGCCCAGTTCCTAACACATGTTCCAAAGTCTGATGGTTGACATAATAAAGAACTGTCAACAAACTTTCTCCGCAAACTGTCAGCTATGTTGTTGAAAATACCTGAAGGCGTTTTATTTTCTGAACCTTTGGTCTCTTCAGACCGGCTTGATCCAGACGCACAAAACACTTCTCCCGATCACATCATCTTTTTTTAAAATGAATTACAAATGTACGCTTTTGTACCCATGTGAGTCTCCATACTGCTTTTAAAAAATCTGTCTCTTTCCTTATAACTGAATTCGTCACAATGGTATCTATTATTCTGACAAGAGTATCTTTTTGGATTTGTTGAGCTATTCTAGCTTTTGTTATTCCAGCCTTTTGGTCTCATTTCGTCTCCAGTTGTGCTAGTCAATCTGTTACTTTCGAGAAGGCAGTCCCCCACAAGGATCAATTTTACCATTTCCTTCTTCCATTCCTATTCTACCCACCTCCCTGCCGCACTTGTCCGTAACCTTGTTGCAAGAATCCATTCCTTTTGCATACACCACACATGCATTCCGTCGCCTTCCAATTCTATGTCCATTAGTTCCCTCGTTATTGCTGCCTACAGCTGTAGGGATCTCTGGCAATAGTATAAAGAAAAATCTCAAACTCAGGGTCATTCTTAAGAAGACCAAGTGAAATGTACAAAACACCAGGGTGAATCGGAGTCGATGGTGATAGCTATTGGCAATACCGTGGCTCCATGATAGAGGTGAATCGTGGATAACTTGCTGGAGTGCACTTGCCATCGTCCGCAGTCTTCTCCAATGTCTTTGCCAGACTCAGCTTTACCGGGCATCTATCTCGGGATAGGGAATCCATCATGTATCCTCAGCCAGACTCGTGTCAAAATGTCAAGAAAGTGGTATTTGAAAAGGGCTAGCATTAATTATTATAGAAGAACAGCATTAACGTGGATGAACTATTCTGTAAACCTGACAAAGATAGCCATTTCATATTCCAGGAGTTTTTTTTCTCTCTTTCGATGACTTGTTCTTGGTCCTTTCTTTACCAATCGTGAATCACAGATGACGCCGACGGAGGTTTTTGCCTGGAACCACTCTCTCTCTCTCTCTCTCTCTCTCTCTCTCTCTCTCTCTCTCTCTCTCTCTCTCTCTCTCTCTCTCTCTCTCTCTGCTAAATATATCTCTGACATAATAATACTAAAACCAAATACTTGAATAGATAACTTTATTGATGCGTGATAAGTGAATCGTAAGAAAATGATGTCTGTCACAATATAGAATACATCACGACTGAAACGTTTAATTTTGCGAAGAGACCAAAGAATATTATCAGTTCACACCCATGGTCACAGGGTAGGATATTTCCGAGGACAAAAGGATTGCATCCAGAATGTCAACATTTAAATAGTAACAATAAAATGCATATTATTATTAAAATATGTTCTATACTATTTATAGTATTAGTTTTGTATTACTACTTCTGCTGCTGTTGCTGTTGCTGCTGCTGCTGCTGATGATGATGATGAGTATAATGATGGTACTACTACTGCTATTACAGCTGCTCCGCAGCAGCTAACATTAGAGTGTGCTATAATACAACAATTAATGTAGGCGAAGAAGAAGAAGAAGCAGGAGGAGGAGAAGAAAAAGAAGGAGAAGGAGGAGAAGAAGAAGAAGCAGGAGGAGGAGGAGGAGAAGAAAAAGAAGGAGAAGGAGGAGAAGAAGAGAGAGAGAGCTTGTTGTAAAGGTGCGGGCCCATAATGTGGCTGGAACTCTATTGATCTTTCATGTTCTTAAGTCTCATCTAGATGCATAAATTAAGTGACAAATCTAATCTAGTAAATCGAATCACACAAATGCTTTATATTATAAGTCACTTCATTGTTGACTATAATATTATTTATCTCGATGAACACTGAAAACAGTTTACAATTCTGTCTAGTTCAAGAGAAAAAAACCATACGGAACGGTCGGGGTGATGCGCGGTGGGGAAGCATGTAGCCGGTTTTCGATGGCACGTGTCAACGCGTGTCGCGACGGTCTGGTGAAACCGATGCGGCTATGTACATGGCCGGTTTGGCGATCCCTTTTTTCCATCAGCTGCAGGTGTCCGTTTTGGAAAGTCTCAATTAAAACATATTTCTAGTTTTTTTTTCAAACCAAATATTTTTTGAGGACACGTATTAGGCTATTTACTATTCATTAAGCAAATAAAAAGATTTTTGAAATTTTTGCATGTAGCCAGTTTGTGAATCCCATCGACGATATGCTACTCTGTAGTGTACGTGGGTATATGTGTATGTGTGTGGGTATATGTGTGGGTATATGTGTGTGTGAGTGTCTATGTATGGGGAACTGTATGTCTCTTTCTGTACATATGCATTAATAACTTCTCTCCCTTGTCCCCAGAATCTCACAAGACACAGATGAAGAGTTGCTTCCCCCTGCTGGCCTAGTTTTCTCCGTCACGGTGGGGCGGTCGGCGGTGGAGAGAGCCAAACTGGCAGGCCTTCAGCGAGTCCTGGTTGACTACAAGCGAGAGAAGCGAGGGCCGACCTTCATCGCCGTGCAGAGCAGTTATGGTGTGTTGACCCGCCCTCCTCCTTAATTATCTCAGCTGTCTGTTTCCTGTGTCTGTCTGTCTGTGTCTCTATCTGTCTGTTTTTCTCCTCTCCCGTTAACTCTCTCTCTCTCTTTTTCTCTCTCTCTCTCTCTCTCTCTCTCTCTCTCTCTCTCTCTC